ATTGCAATGCTATTGCTTTCTCCTCTTTTCTTCTCTCTTCGTTTTTTCTTTTCTTCTTCCTCTCTCCCCTTCTTTTCTCCCCGGGGGATCTAGTATAAACTGCTCCACCAGCATAAAATAAAAACCCTTCTATGTCCCCTTTTCAGCTATATCCGAGAATTACCCCGTCTTGCATCAGTACGTGGTCATCACAACGGTGGTGACGATTTATTTTTCTGCACGCGTTATTATTATAAAAAATAATGTTCATCTAGCTAGCAATTATTATATTAATAAAATATAATCACAGCACCACACCGCACAGCACAGATTGAGTTTGCTGACAAGAATCACGAGCAACAATAATGTCGATGGCAAGGATAAAACTTTTATTGGTTGTCATATTATGGATGGGCATCACCCATCATCATCATCACACGGAAGCCTATTCAATAAACAACAAGAAGCCCACACCTTACAATAACCACGAAGCCGAGACGATAAACCGCCGAGCTTGGCTGCAACAGCAAGTTTCTATTCTGGGCTCTTCCTTGGTAGTTTTTGCATCAACATGGTCGTCTCTTCCAACCACCTCGTGTGCCAAATCTCCACCATTATCGCCAACCCAAAATCCCCTCGAAAGCATCAAGGAATCCCAAGCCACCTTGGACAAACTCTTGTCCAATTGGAAACGCGCCACGATTGATTGTACTTTTGCCGATGTTCCCCGTGAATTGCTGGAAACCAAAAACAAAGAGCTGCTATTAGAGAAGGCCAGTATCTTTGCCCTCTTTGACAAGTCTGTCTCCGTGGAAACCTGCAAGACGACCAATCGCATCGTGAGAGATTACTTGGGAGTGACGGGGAAGGGACCATTGGTGGGGATTGACAAAAAGTTGAAACGAGGATTGGACTTTGTGTCGCCAGATGATGTGGAAGATTATGTGGCTGGTACGTGCTGTGGTATTGTTCATCGTCGTGTGCTTGATTCATTCATGGCATATGATTTTGGAACTCACATCAATTCTCTCAACATCATTTTCCAACAACTCCAGCTCTCGAAAGCTTTTCACAGTCATTATCCAAGGCGAGTTCATTGAGTTACACTGCCGGGGTTGCTGACTTTGATGGTAAGTTGCTGATGACGATATGCAATGATGATATGCAATGTGACCATTCGTTCTCAAAAATCAACGTACACCATCCAACTCACTATTGATATATCCTACTTCTCTTGCCAAAAACGAAATTGTAGCTGTCAACAACTTTCCCAAAGATGCCGTAGACGACACCAATGAAAATAGCAATCTGGAACAGGCCAAGTTGGCCATATCACAAGCAAAAGATAACTTGGATCTAATTGTCAAGTATTTGGAAGCTGGATCCGCATGAGAGTAATAAGAATCTAACATATCACAACTACAGTTTTCCACCGCCATGCCACATATGAGAGAGTCTAGAATGGATTAGATATTAATACGTGATATTGAATAATACTGTTTCATCATATGAATGATTGAGTGGTTAGGACCAGTCGAACCATCCGACTAAACTTCACAGTTTTCATATTATGATATTCAATATATGTAACAAAACTCAATCGATATGACTCAATAAAAGTTTTGGGGCAATAAACGATTGTGATTGTAATGTATTGATTGATTAAGATTAGTTGAGATTGATATCAAGTTTGTCTTAGATTGGATTGAATTGAATTTGTTGTGAGCTCTGATCTGATGAAATCTCTCAGATCGGCTCTAGTCGTACAGTAGCATTCTGATCTAGCTTGATCATGCAATGACCTTCATTCAAGATCAGTTACTTATATTCTGGCATACATCCAAGATCAATCATATGGCAATCCAAGATAATCAAAAGCCTCCTTGTTGACATCGGACTTCTCAATTTAGAATTCGTTATCCCGGTCAGTGTATTTCCAATGACCGTTGAGTGAGTCGACGGAGTCGATTCATGATTCAACCATTCATGATTTGGTTCAAATACCGTATATCTGTACACTCCCTCTTTTGCTCCAAATCCTGATCTTCTCATTACCAACCAAGTACCAATTTTCTGAACTTGACAAAACTCGCTTCATTCAATGGCTTTGTTAGTATGTCTGCAATTTGATCCAGTGTGTGTATCTTGTGAATACTTATCATGCAAGGTCCATCACCAATGTATGATCTGAAGTGGTGTAGTCTGTTGTTCAAATGTTTTGTCCTTGGTCGAAACTTGTGCACTTTCGCAATTTGTCCTCAAAAACTTTACAATGCACCTTTGCTTTTGAAGTTTCCAGAGGTATCCCATTATCAATTCCTATCATGAACCTTGTAAGTACCTGTGACAAATGGGGAAGTGAGATGTAAACTTCCAACCCCAAAGATACTTCATGTATTTAGGGGAGACCCATCTTGCCACGGGGAGTGAGTCCATAGCTTAGTGGCACATCTCGATGTTTTCATACTACTTAAGCAAATGACTCCCCTATATAGAAGACAAGGAGATTGCGACACTGGGTCTTTTATGCGTTCAGAAATACGAACTGTCCATCCGCGGAACTCAGCCTTGCTGAATAATAGCTCGAAGCTGGAAAGTCCGACGGGGAGTGTAAGAATATCCAGTACCTGTGACAAATGGGGAAGTGAGATGTAAACTTCCAACCCCAAAGATACTTCATGTATTTAGGGGAGACCCATCTTGCCACGGGGAGTGAGTCCATAGCTTAGTGGCACATCTCTACCGGTACATTTTATAATATATAATGCGCGATGAGATTTTCTAACGTAGACGAAAGCTCGAGAACGAATCATTGGATTCCATTCATCATACTGACGACGGTCGAACGACCGTCACAACAGCATTGCTCAGCAACACCAAGTCCGATCAGTTTATCGAACTTGTGTGCGAGTATACGTCAAGAAATAAGGTTTATTTCTTTCTTTCCCTCCCTCCACATCCCTGTTGGGCCTTACATCGACGCATTCTACGTCTCTGTAAGGCCTAGTAGGCAAGCAAGTCTTTGATATTCCGCTTCGCGGAATATCAAAGACTGGCCTTTTGGAACCGCACGCTTCGCGCGCAATCCAAAAGACCAGCTTCACACCACAACCCACCAGAGTCACACCAAGAAAGAATCCCTCACGGAAGAAACCAGGCGGCAGGCGCCAGTTGGCTATCGAAGATTCATGAGCCGCGAAAATAATAATAATGATTGCACCAGATGACTTCTTGCCCAAGTCACAACTGCGATGCGAACAGCGATTGCGCTGATATCATGCGTTATCGTTATCTTTATCCTTCTCAGTACCGAGAAACAGACATCACAAAATGCCAATGCAACTGGAACTGCGACAAAAGATGTGTCAAGTCGTAGAAGTTGGCTTAATAATGAAACGATGAGAAGTCACACAGCTGAATCACCATCACCATCGGGCAATGGGCGACGGAAGCCATCCATGGACCAAGATACATCATCCGATATAAGATCAAGATCTTTTACTACTACTCGAACTCCAACCACATCAGCTTCCTTATTAAGCCAACCCTTCCAAATATTTCAGCTGGGAGATCCTAGGTCCGCTTCGACCTTTCAATTCGAGTTGTTGTGCAGCATTGTGACTTGGAAGATGCTACCAATAACCTCCAAAGAAATTCCCTGTCGGTTCATCAAACGCACTCAAATGAGAGGTAATAGGTTTCAACGTCGTCTCCGGGAAAAGGTTGCAAACAACGAGACCTTTGTGTTCAAGGCGCACAATGATCCTGGTGTCATCAGAGAACTCGTCAAGAGTACTCATCTGGTTGTATTTTCATCTGGCGGAGTTGGATCGTCCTTTGCCATTTACACACAACAGTATAACCGACTTCAGCGCTGTCCAGAATGCGAAGTGGATCAATATCAACCCCTCTTTCAGTTATCTGACACTGAAGTTTCCCAAATCAAAGAGCACATGAAGATCTTTGGAATCATTCGTCAATGCTGTGGTTTGCAAATGAGTCAATATGAAATGCAGCGCCTACATGGGTGTGATATGACCAAGTACTTGGATCGGTCTTCCTATCCAAACTGCGAACAGCACTCTGCAGATGAAATGCGAGCCATGGAAGATGCCTTTGCGGCCAGTCCAATTCCATTTCGTGTGTCGTCGCCCGAGTACAATTGGGCCAAACCAGGAGACTGCGCTAGATTCAGGGGTGAGATTGTTGTCAATGGAAAAGGTTTCAATGGAAAGGTATTTCTTGGCTGTGAAGACATTCCTTAGATTGATGCATCTTGGGCGGGCTACTGACACAATTTCTGCCCACCTCGTCCACATCATCTTTACCTTCAGGCCTTCCTCCTTGCGTTGTTACAACTATTCTTTCAACGTCGCAAGAATATAAAGGATTTATTGCTGATGCGAATTACTGATTACTTTGGCTGCAAATGCCATCGGATGTTATCTATCACTTATCACTGCTCCGTCCACCAGCGTACGACATTCTTCCCATCGTCGCAGATTGGTTTGACGATATGCTCGACTATCGGATAAGAAGTTGTTTCGGGAATATAATATGGTCTTCCCGCGTTCTTGAAGGCAACCCGGGTCTTCTCCCTTATATTTCGCGGGTTGTTCCAATCTGTCTCAGCTGAATCGGGTGGGAGTTTGTGCCGTAGAAAGGATGATTCCGGCTGCAAGAGAATGAACGCCTTGTCGGAACCAAAGCCATATCGACTAGATATCTCTGAGTAGCACGGAGCAAAAGTAGTAACAAAAAAATCGGTGGAATGGAAGCGATATCTCCACCCTGGACGATCGATGTACTTTGCTGCCATGACGTTCTCTCCGGCAGGATCATTGACGGAAAGTTCCGAAAGCATCCGCCGCACGCATTGTCCAAACTCTTCTGGGCCTCCTTTGGCAGCCACTTCATCATCGATTTCAATGCAAAAGCCATCGAGAGATTCACTTTCAGCTAGCCGTTCACAAAACTCGATCAACGGCGGAATGTGAGAAGCAGCTTGAGCTTCGATACTGAATGCTTCTGCTGACACCAAACCACCCCATAATTTAGCTCTCTTGGCAAATGGACATTCTGTAGACTTCTTGATTCGGGAAAAGTTTTGAAGCGTCTCATTCTGCCTACTGACATTGACAGAGGTATCCAACGAAGAATGAGACAATGTCGAAGTGCTCTCATCGGTTCTTGTCAAGGAGTCATCCAATGAATGTTGGATTGACTTTGTGGCCCCAAAAGCCTTGGCTTCTACAAGGCAATCTGCCAATAGGTTAATACTCTCATCTAGACCATCATTCGTTTTGGCCGAACACCCATGAACCAGAATCGGTCGTTCTTCCATACTTTTCGCATCCAATCCAAATGCCTCCATAACTTCTTCGGGTGTCATAGCATTTGGTAAATCTTGTTTGTTACATAGCAAGAGTACCGGGAGCTTCCTTGTCTCTTCTTCGCTCGTAAGCCGGCGAAACTCGTCCCTCGATTCATCTATCGTATACCGATCAGAGGAATCGACCACAAAGACTATGGCATCACTTCCTTCAAAGTAATGTCTCCACAAGGGACGCGTTTTTTCTCGGCCTCCCAAGTCCCAGCCAGTAAGTTCAGCAGCATCCCCCCGGAAGGTTTCAATATTAAAACCAATGGTGGGAATGACATCCAGCATTCCTTCCTTGTCAGGAAGCGCAAGGCGATAGAGGATCGACGTTTTCCCAGATGCCGAAATCCCGCAGATGAGTAATCTGTATATTGGTAGCGCACAGGGCGAATACCTTCGATAAATTGTGGATGCTGTTTGTCCCATTCTTGCAATTGATGAGAATGGATGCTGATGATGCTTTATGGCCTGTTCATTACCCAAAGCAGTTGATGTTCATTACCATATCATACCATCCGTGCCACATGATGATGATGGCATGTCTGAAGTCCACGAATAAAATAGAAATAAACACCCCCAAAATACCCCCAACATCCAGGTACTATTCTAAGGTCTTTTATTTTTAAAATTGGTGTACAGATACCAGCCGAGTGGAGCTACAAGGATGGTGCGACTTATGGCGAAGGCCAACACGAACACCTTGCGCATCATATTCATCCTTATTTTTTTCTTTCTCGGCATACTTGCGGTTGCGAGCACACCTTAGTGTGCCATTGTAGCTATCTACATTGAAATCGGTGCCATGATACTTAAGAGCAAGTTGCTGCAAGTGAAAAAGCAACTTCTTTCTACCTGCATTTGTAGGTGGGCAGTGATCTGGATTGAATTGTGCTCGTGTAAATTCGGGCCCATTTGTAATAAACGAGAAGAGGTCAACTGATTCATTGTCATCATAGTCACGGAGACCAATAAAGGGAAGCTCAGCTGTCCATTCTTCAGCGTCAGAAACTGACATTTGGACATCCTGTTGTAGTTCCTCTTGTGTGAGGTGAACAGTTGAAGAATATTCAGATGACATGGTAGTGTTGTACAAGGTGACAACATTCTACTTGTTTTAATTTTTGGTATGGCTGATTTTCCGCGACAAGTTTGGCGCAATATTGATTGATATTGGAGGCAGGCACGGATTGTTGCGAGTCAGCCGGCTGGTCGGAGTCGTTCTGTTAACAAGGACGAAAGGGGTCGGGGATCTATGGCCGCTGGCGCGAGGTGTGCCAGCGTACCCGGTAGCTCCACTCGGCTGGATTTGAACCAATCATGAATGGTTGAATCATGGATGGACTGACTCAACGGTCATTGGAAATACTCTGACCGGGATAACGAATTCTAAATTGAGAAGTCCGATGTCAACAAGGAGGCTTATGATTATTTTGGATTGCCATATGATTGATCTTGGATGTATGCCAGAATATAAGTAACTGATCTTGAATGAAGGTCATTGCATGATCAAGCAAGATCAGAATGCTACTGTACAACTAGAGCCAAGAATCTGAGAGATTTCATCAGATCAGAGCTCACAATCCAATCTAAAACAAACTTGATATCAATCTCAACTAATCTTAATCAATCAATACATTACAATCACAATCGTTTATTGCCCCAAAACTTTTATTGAGTCATATCGATTGAGTTTTGTTACATACCGGTACACCACGTGGACCGCGGTTCATTCGTCGACCTTCTGGTTCCGTGTTGTATTTGCAAATAAAGGTGACTGTGCTATTGGATACGAGATGTACTGATACGAACGTGTACGATTGCAAGCGGTCCGTGAGTAGTAAGGATAAATCGGCCGCTTACAAAAGCCGCCGATGAACGATGAACACACTCTTTCTAAGAATACGTTTGATTGTAATACTGTCTACCGTCTATCATAGCATAGTAACGTTGTAACGATAATATTTATATCGAACAAAAATGAAAATGAAATGAAAATGAAAATGAAAAAATGAAAATCACTACGACAACGAAACGGCATCGAGCGTACTACGAACGCTATGATGGGTGACACAACACCAATGGAAAATGTTATGATGGGTGCTGCAACACCAACGAAAACTGCAATAACGGGTGGTGTAACGCCGTGATGGGTGCCGCAACACCAACGAAAACTGCTTTGATGGGTGCTGCAACACCAATGAAAACTGCCTTGATGGGTGCCGCAACACCAACAAAAACTGCTTTGATGGGTGCCGCAACACCAACAAAAACTGCTTTGATGGGTGCTGCAACACCAACGATGGGTGCCGCAACACCAACAAAAAGTGCTATGATGGGTGCTACAACACCAACAAAAAACTGCCATATGGGTGCCACAACACCAACAAAAACTGTAGCCTTTTACACACTGAAAACGAAAACTTTAACTCACAATACGATGTATGACATTGATATAGACAACATGGCCGCCATTCCTCCTCTCTTCACTGTTCATGACACTATGGTCATCTGTGGCATTAACAATGCAACCCTATTCCAAGGACGTACGCAAGCTGAGAGAATCGCTTATGAAATATTCTCTGCCGATTTTAGCACTACAATGGATATTTCTATCGACGAACTCAACGATGAACTCAAAACCCTAGCAGGAATGACTGCTGCACAAGGGCAAATTCGATTGATGCCTGGCATCAAGAAAAATATACGCGCCTTCATCCAATGGTGCAGAGACGAATTCTGCATGGGACGGGACCCAGCAACTGTACCATTCCCAGTCATTGATGCATCCCAACTCCTTCGACGCATGAAAACACACGAGCAATATGTATATGGCTCTAAGTTGATGTCACAACAGGCACTACCTCAAGACTTCACCAACGACGTCCAATGGGATGATTGGCACCCAACCTTCGTAAACTACCTCCGTACCATACCAGGAAGAGATGGAGTCCCGCTCCAATACGTAGTCCGAACGAACGAACAAAGCATCAGTTCCGACATACCTTCCTAGAGACGTACATCCAAATGGCACCACTCAATGGTGAAGCCTGCAAGTGGATGAACATGGCCACAAACACTTGCTGATGGAAGAGATCAGGGAACACCGTTCTAACAAGAAAGCAGTAAAGAAACAAGACGGTTTTTATAGCTTGAAGAGTGTAACGCAACGAAGACGACATACTACAGCAGGTTGGGACTTTTATGTCACTTGGAAAGATGGTTCCTCGAACTGGATACCTTTGAAAGACATGAAAGAGTCCTTCCCAATTGAAGTGGCAGACTATACAATAAGCAAGGGCATTCAAGACAAACCCGCTTTTGCATGGTGGGTACCACACATTGTTCGAAAACGCGCACGATTCCTTGGCATGGTCAAATCAAAGTACTGGGAACGTACACACAAGTACGGGATACGTATCCCAAAATCAATCAGAGAAGCCATCAAAATCGACAAAGAGAATGGGGACACCTTATGGGAGGATTCGATCCAAATGGAAATGAAGAACAATCAAATAGCCTTTGAAGAATTCGATGGGGATGTTGAGAAGTTGATGGGATACAAGAAAATCACGGGACACTTGGTATTTGATGTGAAATTGGGAGAAAACTTCCGAAGGAAAGCCAGGGATATGCCGCAATTTGTTGTGAATCTGAGCATGCATGCGTGACAGACCAATTTTCTCACTCTTTCTGCAGGGGTAGCAAACCAAAAATCTCCTTTTTTCATAGAATTGAATCGTTGTTTAACGCTTCACGTCCTGGTGGTGTTTTGATATTTGGACTTATATTAAAAAATATCTTCTCTTAAATCATAAATTTGCTGTAAATTTGCTGTAGATTTGCTGTAAATTTGCTGTAGATTTGCTGTAGTCATTACAGATGTTCCGAAATTGCTGTAAATGATGACTACAACAAATTTACAGCAAAGAAGGGCTTGCGTGCGAGCATTCCAGGCCAGTATGTTGCTACACAAGTTCAAGCGGCCAGGGTAAACGGTTATACAGGAAAGTACGCTTGCGACAATTTTGCTGTAAATTTGCTGTAAATTTGCTGTAAATTTGCTGTAGTCATTTACAGATATTCCGAAATTGCTGCAAATGATGACCCCAAAGATTTTGATGTTACTTCTTTCGCTTAAATACATTATGTTGTTCTATAAGTAAAAGCTAATCGTAGAAAGACTTTGCTGTGAATTTGCTGTAAATTTGCTGTGAATTTGCTGTAAATTTGCTGTAGTCATTTACAGATGTTCCGAAATTGCTGTAAATGATGACTACAACAAAGAAAGGACTTCTTGTTGCTGTTAAGAAAACGTTATTCTAAATTTTAGGCAAAAACATTGTCCGGAATAGATAGCTACAGCATACTAGTCTATAGCCTAACAATAGGATATCTATTTTATTCACTCTGGTGGTACAGTGTTTGCTTCAAAGATAGGATGTCCATGGTCCATCGCATACTGGACAAGAACAGCCACCGCTTCAAAACCATAGACATGATTTTCGGGGTCGTGATGGTGCAGTATGTGTTGAAATTCTATAATTTTTCAGTCGACCATTCAAACTCTCGTGCCTTGACAGTTAAATCGCGCGCATGTACTGCTGGCGACTCCGACGATTTTGTTGTGGTCATCATTTACAGCAATTTCGGAATATCAAATTGCTGTAAATGATGACCACAACAAAATAATACAAACTCGAAAAGTCAAACCGATATATTTCACCTACTTAACGAGTTTTGTGAATGTTAAACACTTGAAGTCGTAAAAGGCACTCACCGATTTTTCCTAAGTAAAGCCTGAAATTGGAGTTTCGTGCAGAAGAGGGTGAAAATGACCACATGGACTAGTAAAAAATGAGAAAAATCTGGTTTTACAACAAATTGCGGGGTATCCCAGGTACTGCGCTGACGACACAAGACTGAAGCACCAGCAGCATTGACCTACAGCACTGTAGTATCTCGTGATTCAGTTTGGATACTACTCATGATAGCAGCGCTAAACGGATTAGACTTGCAGTGTGCGGACATACAGAAGGCTTTCCTCACTGTACCGGTACCAGCAATCGAAAAGTGCTACATGGTAGCAGGACCCGAGTTTGGGGACAGAGAAGGCAAAGTTTGCATTGTAAGAAGGGCATAATATGGTCTAAAAGGATCATCAGCGGCATTCAGGTCACATCTGGCAGAGACATTGGAGGAATTGGGCTTCTGGTCGTCCACTGCCGATCCTGATGTTTGGATGAGGGCTGCTGTTAAACCTGATGGGGAGGAGTATTATGAATACATCCTTTGTTATGTTGATGACATACTATGTATGTCAATGAAAGCCAAAGAAGTAATGGAAGGAATCGGAAAGTTGTTCAAATTCAAGAAAAGGAAGATTGAACTTCCAGAGAGCTATCTAGGAGCCAGATTGGACGGAGTCGATATGTGGACAATGTCTAGCTATGACTACGTTGTGGCAGCCGTCAAGAATGTTAAGGAGACGTTGAAAGGTAACACCAAGTGGAAACTACCCAAGAACGCGCCAACACCAATGACAAGCGCTTACGAACCGGAGATGGATGGATCAAGCTAATTAGGACAAGGAGATCATACCTACTTCCAAGAATTGATTGGAATGTTACAATGGGCAACGGAGATTAGACGAGTTGATATCTTATTTAAAGTCTCATTACTGAGCCAATATCAAGCAGCGCCAATGGAAGGACACATGGAACAAGCATTGAGGATATTTGCTTTCTTGGGTACGTTTCCAAAGTTGACCTTGTACTATGATTATAGGGCACCAAACTTGGATTACTCCAAATCGAGGTCCTCTAGAGAGAATTTCCAGGCATACTATCGGGACGCAAAAGAGGAAATACCGCACAACGCACCCAAACCAAGGGGACAAAGCATAGGGAGTACCGCATGGGTAGATGCTTCTCACGGTGCTAACAAGAAGACGCGAAAGTCGCATACGGGTTACGTGATTTTCCTCAATCGAGCACCCATATTGTGGCACAGCAAAAGGCAAAATACGATAGAAGCGAGCACTTTTGGTTCGGAGTTTATCGCCCTGAAAGCATGTATTGAAGCCATCACACATTTGAGGTTCAAGTTGAGGATGTTTGGAATCCCTTTGGAAGATGAACCCACACACATATTTTGCGACAATGAGAGCGTGGTGACAAATGCAACAAAGGTCGAATCGACCTTGAACAAGAAGCACAATTGCATAGCATACCATTATACGAGATGGAACGTGGCTGCTGGAGTTGTCGATGTATCATGGACACCAGGGATGTTAAACCTCGCTGATGCCTTCACGAAGCAATTGACCCTGGAAAGACGGGGACGCCTGTATGGTGAATGGACGTACTAGTCATATTATCGAACTGAATTCCATCGTTGGTACCCAGTTCAAGGGGACCAAATAAAGGTGACTGTGCTATTGGATACGAGATGCGTCGTACTGATACAAACGTGTACGATTGCAAGCGGTCCGTGAGTAGTAAGGATAAATCGGCCGCTTACAAAAGCCGCCAATGAACGATGAACACACTCTTTCTAAGAATACGTTTGATTGCAATACTGTCTACCGTCTATCATAGCTACTACTTTGTAAGTCAACAACATCGTAACGTTGTAACGATAATATTTATATTTTTGGGAAGTGATTACGAGGCAAAAATTCATTCAGATCGTATCTTTTATTTTCTCGTGGCGCTCTACATGAAAACCGCTAATTTGATACACGTGTATGGAGGCTGCTTCATTCGGTATCGAACTGCTTCTCTTCATTATCTTTGGAGTCTTACGATAGTGGCAGATATAAAGTGACCTTGCTTTGAGTTTCAGAAGTGTTACAAGTGTCACAGCAAGGGACATTGAAGAGGGTGTTTTTGGTGTGATTGCTTGGTCTTGAAGAGGAAAAGTAGTATTTGGAGATCCTGGTTCTCATTTTAAGAAGCTTCCTGAGACTGTGGACCGCCAACAGTTCGAAGCTCCGAAAAACGATGGTACATAAATCGTCACTGTATGCTCCTTTCTTGAAATGACTGGTCTAACGCTTGCTGCTCCTCAGGTGTCCCCTATTTCAAAAGGAAATATGGCTGTTCTGGCACAGCTTTGTGGTGGCTTATTGCTCTCATCAACCAAGTCATAGGCCTGGTAGTACTCCCAATCGCTGTCGTCGTTACGGCTCTTGCTGATTTGTTGCTGCCACCATACGTAAGAACAGGAAAGAAAGTGTCCATATTCTGTTGTCTTGAATCTATCATTGATCGAATAGTGATGACAATCAGGAAGATTCTTGGTATTCCATGGCTGATAGTGCTTTTTCTAAACGGAGATACTTTGGTGGACCTCTTAGAACAGTGCATCAAGGATAATTACTTCTTCATGACATGGTGGCTGGAGAGTGATTACAATGCACAACTATACTATAGGAGTGACCGGGCCGTTTTCATTTTTGCAAGAGCGCGAAGGGCAAAGAAAGTATCGATGCTTTCGGGCGTTGATGGTCCAGACAAAGAGACTCGAGCGCGAAGAAAACTCTCCAAGAGTATGGTCAGAGACTTTCGTCGAGAAAGGCGGGATCTGGAGGCTCTTGAGTTTCTGAAGGCATGTTATGAAGAGGGAGCCGATTTGAGTTGGCCAGATACATATGGCAATACTGTGCTAAGTGTGGCCATCAGACGCTGTTATGAACAATGCGTCAAATGGCTGTTGAAGCACCATGACGCCGACCCAAATCGCCAAGACCATTATGAGGGGAATACAGGCATGCGCATTTTGGTTCAACGAATCGGCAAGCTCGGCGATGGAACGGCAGCTGCAATGCTGAGATTGCTGCTCAACAACAATGCGTCTGACTTTACAACCTTGAACTTTCATGGTGATAGAGGAATCATCAAGAACTTCAACAAGTTGACCAAAGAAAGGGGCCACACTCCTTACATGATGCTGCGCAATCCAAGCAAGTTTCCAGATTCTGCAAACGCTCTAAAGCCACGACCTTCCTTTCAACAACTGGAAAAGCTTCTAAAGACCGAAAACAAAAGTGCAAGACAAAAGTGCGATGACGTGTACAAGCTCATCAGCGAAAGTCACAATGGCGATAGAAGCTTGCATCATCTTCGCGTGATGGATATGCTTTTCTGTGCCAATGAAGGTACAAATGAAGATTTGGAGCTTCGACGGACTACTATATTCAATCACTTTTTGAAACAAGTCCTGTTACTGTCTACCCAAGATTCCTCAGAAGAAGAAAAGCTGACCCATGATGATGTAGCACTTCTTTGGTGGATGTATTACCAGTCGTGAGTTCGTTGCCAATCGCATCCCGCTTGGCTTTCTTTCATATTTTACTGTCTTCTATCTAAAATCAGAGCGGGTCCACCGGGAACTACAAAGGAAGAAGCAAGAAGAAGTTATATCGAAGAGTTCCAGAAAGTTCTTGACGGTGTGTGTGTGAAACAAATGGGTTGTTGGGTTGGTGTTTCGTTTTTTCCTCGCACACGATTTTGATGTGACTTTTGAAGTGTGACACATTTGCGATATTCCAACGTATATAGACCGCAGGCACACTGTTTGATTTCTTTGACTACATTGTGTTACAGACGGACAAAGGCCGAACGGCCTTCGACCGTCAAAAGTTGTTGTCAATGCGCCCAGGCAATGATGCCCAGTTTATCGACTGAGATTGAATTCACCCACTTGTGTCGTGGTAATTCAATTTTTCTCTTGGTACCCAGCCTTTGTCTGCAAGCGAACGAAAAACTCCAGCTCCTTACACGCCGCCCTCATTCATTGCGATCGGCCAGCGTGACGTGCAGCTAACAACTTCCAACATCAGTCTTCTATTTTTGAAGTGAGATTGGTCGAACGAATCGAGTCTATTACTCGATCAGTTCGACCCGCTTCACACCACAACCCACCAGCTACACACCAAGACAAAATACTACGAACACACACACGGAGGACGGCAGTAGGCTATCTTAGATAGTCCAACGTAGACCGCAGGCACACTGTTCGATTTCTTTGACTACATTGTGTTACAGACGGACAAAGGCCGAACGGCCTTCGACCGTCAAAAGTTGTTGTCGATGCGCCCAGGCAATGATGCCCAGTTTATCGACTGAGATTGAATTCACCCACTTGTGTCGCGGTAATTCAATTTTTCTCTCCCAAACCTCACCCGCCCTGTTGGGCACCGCCTCCATTTTACCATATCGGCGGTGCCTGGTAGGAAAGCAGATCTCAGTAATACCGCACACGGGATTTCTGAGATTGGTCGAACGAATCGAGTCTATTACTCGATCAGTTCGACCCGCTTCACACCACAACCCACCAGCTACACACCAAGACAAAATACTACGAACACACACACGGAGGACGGCAGTAGGCTATCTTAGATAGTCCAACGTAGACCGCAGGCACACTGTTCGATTTCTTTGACTACATTGTGTTACAGACGGACAAAGGCCGAACGGCCTTCGACCGTCAAAAGTTGTTGTCGATGCGCCCAGGCAATGATGCCCAGTTTATCGACTGAGATTGAATTCACCCACTTGTGTCGCGGTAATTCAATTTTTCTGGATCTGTGGGCGACTCTGCCTTGTCCTTCCAACCTTCACGGGAATGGTCTATTGAACGTTGCTGCCGCCCAACCCCTACGAGAGCAATTTGCTCGCTATGTAATGGGGATGGCTCTGGATTGTGCTCTCTTTGGCCCCTGTGATGTGGACGATCGACAGGCTATCAGGCAACGCTGTCAAGTTGGTGCATGGTTGGAACGTGCTCGGCAATGCTACCCGCCAGCACTGGGGTATCATGGTCCGCCGGATCATTTTGCGTACCTATCGGTTCTTTGTCCTCCGGAGGATGGGTGGCCTTGGCCGGAATTTTCTACTTGGCTTTCTGATTTGCCTTTCGACGCGCTACCTGATAGGTATCAGCGATTTGAACCGAAAGCGATCCCTGTAAAAGCACGAGCAGTCTTTGTTCCAGCCATTCTTGTGGAAAAATAGGACCCTGATAGCGATTTGGATGCTTACGCAAATGTGTTTGCCACGACTGCACCTACAGTTACGGCTACACCTAACATAGCTACAGTCCCAGCTCCAGCTCCGAATATTGCTACTCCAAGTCCACCAAAAGAAGCTCCACTTCCACCGGTGCGGCAATTGGCCTCCCCACCTTCTGTTCCACAAGACGTCCTTGATGCCATGCAAAAAATGAGGGCTTTCCAAGAACAAATTGTTCATGGAACATCTGCGGGAACACCTGCTAATCCAGTTGACTTGGTCGCTGGTGATGTGGAGGAGTATGACATTCGTCCGAATGACTTGGCAACTAGGTTTGCTTCTTTGGCAAATGATTCTTCTACTGCAGCAGTCATGCGAGCTGGCAGTATTGCTGATCGTCGTCGCTCTAGTTTGGCACAAGGCAGATTTGGGGCGGGTCCACGAACGGGTTCGCTGGGCCTTGCTCCAATGCGGAACGACATGTTCAACCCGCAGACACTGGCGGCAGCGCTTGGAGTGCGACAGTCTCGTTTTGTTTCAGCAGATAAAGCGTCTCTTGCAAGGGTGCAGGCACGTCGGACCTGCAGCCCTTATTTCCTAAATGTTGCTCTGGTTCTTGCGAGTTTCTTTCCCCAAGAGGAGCAACCCTATCTGTGTCTGTCTGATGATCGTGTGGTGGCTGCAACTGATTGGATGAAAGTTCCGGAACCAACGCAACTCGCCCATGATCTCATTGCGGTATGGGACCACGGCCACAAGGAGGCAACGTCGGGTGTCACACGAACATTGCATTATGCACTTCGTTTTTGTGCGGATATTGCTACGGATTTTCAACAGATCCCGCTTCCATATGA